GCAGAGTGACTTACACTTCATAGAACAGAGAAGAAGATAGGATTCACAACAATTTCTAAGGCCTACCTAATGCACCTTGCTTTATTTAGAATAGAAAAAGTCTTGTGTTATTAATAATATAAATAGGATTTGCACTTATATTTACTTTTAGATTGTCTTCTCAGTTGCTGTTCATAAGTACTATGAGAACATTAGATTTTATACAGTTAGAATATAAAGTTATATTTAATGATATTTAAAATAATATTCTTTGTGATTGAATAATTCTTCTTTAAATGCAGAAGATATAGTTCATCATCCTAAGATTTTCTGTAAGAATCAGAACCCAATATCTTGTAACAAATAAATAACCTAAGTCAAATGAAAAGAAATACAGAAACATATCATATAATTAATTGTTTGCTTCAATATTTAAACACATGTTGTTTTGTTTCTTCTCCTTTCCCTTAGGCAAAAGTGAGATTATTAAACGATTTAGAGAATTCGGAGAGCAAGAGTTCAAAGGCCTGTAAGTTAAAATATAGAAGAGTCAAATTTAACGTTTCTGATTACATTGGTTATACTCTAAATGTCTTACTTTCTCCTGTCATTAGGGTTCAGATTTCAGAACATTGTTGCCCCATACAATTTTCTGTACCGATGAAAATACTCCGTATGAGTGCTATCTAATGTGGTAGCCACTAGTCACATGYGGCTGTTGAGTACTTTAAAGTGCAATGGAGAAATAAAATGTCAAATTGTATTAAAGTTTAGTTAAATTTCATTTAAGTATGTAAATTTTAATTGATTGAGACTTAAATAGAATATTAATTAAATTTAAATAATTTAAATATATAGTTGCATGTGTCTAATGGCTACTGTATTGAAAAGTTAAAATCTGGAATTCTCATACTACCTAGAAACTCTGGAACAATGGTGGAAAGACTAATACATGGTTCCTTTGGCAGCTCACTTACTAATTTCCCTTTACATACCAAATTGTTCTGAGGTTCCTTGGGAACATTTTAATATATTTTTTTAATCTAGTAAAAATTACGATCCTACAGCCCATTTAAATGAGGTATGTGTTTTTATTTTCATTTAAATAATTCAAAGGGTTTATATAAAGCCCAGTCTTGACAATTAAATCYATTTGGTATAGAGTTTTCTAGTTTGCCCTATGTGTATGTCTCTACTGACATGAACCCATACACATTTGGACATGGCTGAAATACTATCCTCCCTACTTAGGAAGCCACATGTGCCTGATTAGGTCTCAGACAATACCTCATATGAATAGTCTTTCTGGATAATTATAAGAAAGATATAGAAACATTGATTATAGACACATAAGTGATTTGCTCTCTAGCATAGCAACCTGTTTTATGTTAAAATTTTATTGTGCTACATGTTTCTGTGTTTTTTGTTTCAGGGTTCTGGTTACCTTTTCTCAGTTTCTCCAGAAGACCTCATATGATGATCTTGCAAAATTCACAACTGAAGTGACTGACTTGGCAAAAGCATGTGTTGCTGATGAATTCGGGGCAGATTGTAACAAACCACTTGTAAGTTCTGATTTTGAGGATTCATTGTTTTACTTTAAATTATTAAGAGTATTTCAAAGGAAAGATTCTTTTAAAACTTTACTATTAAGTGACTGAATTTGTAAGCTATACTCAAAAGTTTCATATGGACTGATAAGTAATATCAGTAATATATTTTTGTTTATTTATTGAYTTTATTTTATTGTGGTTAGAACACTTGATAGGAGTTCTATCCTCTTAAACATTTATGTGTGAAATACTTTACTGATGCTTATAGGTACAATATTATGCAGCCAATTGTTACAGTTTATTCATCTTGATTAAGTGAAATTTCATGCCACTTGATTAGTCACTCCCCATTTCCTCCTTTTCCTAGCTCCTGGCAGCCATCTTTTTATTCTTTGATTCTGTGAATTTGACTATTTTAGATACCTCATATTAATGGAATCATTTGTCTTTGTCTGTCTGTGATTGGTTTATTGCACCTAGCACAGTGTCCTCAAAGATCATCTGCATTAGTACCAATTGTAGAATTTCCTTCTTTTAAAGGATGAATGGTATTCCCTTGTATAKAGATACTACATTTTCTTTATGCATCCACATTTTTCTTTATCCATTTATTTTCCATTGATGGACACTTCAGTTATTCCCATACCTTGACTAAATAATGTAAATTWTACCCAACTGAATACAAGAGTCTAATATCTCTTTGAGGTAATAGCATGATTTTTACTTCCAGAAAGCACCAACAGATTTCTATGCTACGGGCAAAATAACAGTTATAGTTATTTATTCATCATTTTAGGGTTATTAATGTTTTTACATAAAATAATAAACAAGGCATTCAATCCTTTTGAAGAACTTGAACATTTGCTATTTCCAAATACATCTTTAAAATAAGAGGCCTATGTTTCTTTCACCACTCAACCTATATATGCCTCTGTAGGGACAAGGTTCATATTGTCATTGGACCCTTTCCTCTTCTTGTTTCTCTCTGGATGCACTTTTCACTGCTGCAGRATAAGTACTTTAACTTCCCCCAATTTTATATTTCTACATATGAATTTTTTAAAGTGCATTTAAAAAATAATAAATTCTATCTAGACCAGTGAGTTTTCCATATGGTTACAATTACTTATATAATAACAATGAGGAATGAATGAGGAAGAAAAGGATTTATTCAATGAGTGAAATACTTTGAAAGAAATATTTCTAGAATAAAAAAGCTATATATTTTAATGCAGTAACAATGTGTAGTAGATTTATGTTACTCCTCAATTTGTAAATGTATCTACTAAAAAGTTGAGTCTCTCAAAAAGAAGCAGATTAAGTGAGAAAGTATCTGAGTATTTCCTCCCTAAGATGAATTCACGTGCTGCACTGCAGGCTAGTTTCTCTAGTGACAGGTAACAAGCATAGAAAGGAAATGTTCCTGAGAGCCATCAACTCTCTTTTTGCCCTTCAGTTTTATTCATCATAAGTAATATTGTGGCAATTGATTTTTATGACAATTATACATAGTTAAATCAAGGGAATTTAATGGGGGAAGTGAATTTTTGTACAATTTCCTTTTTTGATAGGTTTAAAATTTTGTATTTCATTAAGATTTTTCATATTTAAATTTATGTTTTACCTCATACATATTCATGGAGTCCTCTGCGATGTTTCGATATATGAAATACCATACATATTTGCAATGTAGATGATTTCTTCACCAAGCTTTAACAGTATGTAAAATTTTTATGCTGTTTTTTGGTAATAAAGAAAATAAAGTCCTGCCCAGAAAAGTGAAGAATGTTCTCTTTCATTTAGGATACTATCTTTGGAGAGAAAACATGCAAAATCGCCACTCTTCGTGATACCTATGGTGATATGGCTGACTGCTGTGCTAAACAAGACCTTGAGAGATTTCAATGCCTGGTAAAGCACAAAGAAGATAATCCTAAAATCCCTCCACTTSATTCAATAGATTCTGATGCTTTGTGCATCTCCTTTGATGAAAGTAGCCAGAACGTTTTAGGACAGTAAGTAATCCATGCTTCAAAATTAAAAATTAAGGAGTAAGTCAATACTCTATATAATAAGTGCCATACCACAAACCATTTCCAACATTAAAACTTAGAAGTTTTGTTCTCATGTTGAGTTTTAAAGAAGTAAAACTTCACATCACAAAATTCTGCACAACAAAAAAAAAATATAACCAAAATTCTTTGATCTTGAAACAGSTATGATCCATATGAAAATTTGAAAGAGACATGTTTTTATATATATATCAAAATTATATAGTTATTCTCAGGATTGTTGTAATTTTAGTCAGCTATATTAGATCACCCCAAATTTAACCATTTATATGTGATCCATATACATATACATCACAAATTCATCCCTTCCTTTCACTGACTTAAAGAATGGAAAAGACAAGGGCATCATGTGCAAATTGAGCTTCAGTGGTACATTACATGTCTTTGGGTTTTGGAGGCTCTTGGGAGAATGTTGATTGTAATTATTTTGTAATATTGTGTGGTATGGAAAAATGACTTCTTGTTATCTTCTTTAAAAATTAGCTTTGTATATGAAGTTGCCAGGAGAAATCCTTACTTATGTGGCCAGAAARTCATCTACTTTGCTGAAAAGTATAAAGGCTTTGTGACAGAATGCTGCCAAGCTGCTGATAAAGGAGAATGCCTGACACCAAAGGTATTTCCCAAAAAGAACCAATTTATAGTGCATTGTCGAATTTTGAACATCTTGTGGATAGATTTAGAAAACCTTATTCTCCTAAACACACTTCCCTACATGTACAAAGAGCCTTACTTTTATGTCTTCCAAAGAAGTTTTATTCTTTTTGAAGGCCTCTCCTATTCTTCCTTCCTCTTTCTGAGATTTAGAAGTGCTGATATGATGGAGGGAATCACTTAGCACATAGTTAAATGTTCTGCCCCTTGTTATGGTGATTCTCTCTATAGGGAAGTATTTGTCAAATTGCACAGCAAGGGCCCACAGTTCCCACAGTTTTGCTTTATTTTTCATGAGACTTTTTGATGGATAGAGAATTCGAAGTAGAGAATATTACTGCAAGAGCTCATTTATTCCTTCCATAAGTATTTATTGTGTGCCTCACTGTGTTCTCTGGGGAGTTTGTTGATGTTGTCAGAGGAGAGACTTCAAATGGATTATGCACAACATTAAGAACTCAGCTAGGTTATATGTTCCTGGGATATTAGCATATACTTTTTCTCTCAGAAGCCTTTTCTCTGGCAATGTGTCCTAGCTGATTTTAACTACCTAGAGGCTTCCACTATGACCAGAATAATGTTTCCTGTTACAAAGCAAAATAATTATTTCCCAAAGGGAGTACTTGGGAATTTAGATTGAATGTGGCATAGTCTCATCTGAGTTTTTGAAGTTGTGTTTTGTATAGAAGTTTTCTTTTCTTCATTTTTTTTCAAATTGCTTTCTTTCTTTAGACTGAGAATTTGAAGAAGACAATAATGCTTTCTTCTGCCAAAGATAGATTCAAGTGTAGCGTTCTTGAGAAAAATGGAGAAAGAGGTCTCAAAGCATGGTAAATATTTTTTAACACAATTTGTATCTTTATAAAAAATGTACAAGTGATAATGGTTCCATTGACAAAAGTATACATTTATGTGTCATTTCTCCCAGTGCTTACAAATACAGTTTGTTGTCATTGTTGTCTAAAAGGTAAAATTTCTTAGAGATGAAAATTAGAACATAAGGAACAACTTGACATTATTTTTGTCTTATTTTTCTAAGTTGTTAAAGAATTAATAAAACTTTATCATTTTTGTCCTAAAAAGAAAGACATGGATTCTATTTGTTTATGAAGACCAGGAATGGGGAGGGGGAAGGCATGAAAAAAATGGACGAACTTTGATTGCGCAAAGGAGAGGAAAGGGAGGTAGGGTGCRTGGGGCAGGAAGGTTGGTGGAATGAGATAGATGTCATTACCCTAAGTACATGTATGGCTGCACATATGGTGTGATGCTACATTGTGTACAATCATAAAAATGTAAAATTGTGCTGCAATTGTGTACATTGAATCAAAATGCATTCTACTGTCATGTATATCTAATTAAAATAAATTAATTAGTTAAAAAAGAATTTATAATGTTAAAAAAAGACTAGGAAACATACTCTATGGTGTATTATTTTTATAGAGCTATTGTCAGGGTCTTTTATTTAATTTTATCCTTTCCCACAATGATCTGAAAGCATCTACTTCTCTTGTTATGTCCTATAATTAAATTCAGTCACCAACTAAGCMAAATTAGTACTCATAATTTTCACTTAGCTTCAACTCTGCCCTTAATCTCATATTTTTGCTTGGGCCCCTGTTTTTATACTATTAGTTGATTCTGAGAACATCATTCAGTATCTGACTAAGAAAATTATTATCTGCTTCTCCAAYCCCTCACTTGTCATCAACAATGAATCTATATACCAGGAGATAAAATTAAAGTAATRGACATTATGCATGCTCTCTAGAAACTGTCAATTGAACTATCTTTGCTTTTCATTCCTACCACCSAAACCACAAAATACAACCAAATTGATAAACAAAATACCCCTAACATGAACCAATGCACATTACACAGGCAATGACT